ACTATGATCTTGTATTTGTTTGTTTTTTTGCTAAGATACCTTACATGCGTAATATGGTAATTTTTGTAAGGAAACAAAGTGGGATAACCCTAGGGGTGCTTGTGTGCAAGTGTGTCATTTTCATGCTTGTTTTTGTCTTGAATTAGGGTTTTATATTTTTATTGTTTTTATCTTGCCATACAAACCCTAATTACTAGCATGTTATGTGAAAGCGATAAATTGCGAAATTTAAAGTTACTACGCTATTACAACATTGTGGGAGGGGGTATACAATTTATGAATAGGGATTGCAATAAGGTAAACCTAATTAATCTATTACAACCAAATTGAATTTGTACAAGTAAATTGAAATATACAAGATGAATTAAATATGCAAGAATTATAAATGCAAAGAAAAAAAAATTGTTTGGTTTCTTAATATGAAGGAGGTTTTGACCTAAAAAAAGAGTAACTAAATTATATTAAACTTAAGTTAAATGAAGAAATTATTTAAGAAAAGATTTTAATTAAGAAAAGATTTTGTAAATGACACCCTAAATCTATTTTTAGTTGAATAAAGGAAAATAAGTTTTAAAGAAAAAGTATTTTTATATTTTTATATTTTTGTCTTGAAAATAATATGTGGTGTCATGAAATATTTTTGGTCCTTTTTATATTAAAAATAAGTGTATTTAAATAAATAATAACCTAGTTTTATTTTAATATTTACAAGAAAATTAATACAAGTAAATAAAGTATGGTGGATAAAAATAATTTTTCATGTAGAAAAATATTTAAATTATGTCAAAATATAAATCTATTATTTTTATACATTTTATGAATTTTTTTGGTATTTTAGAAAATATATTTAAAAGAAAAATAAATAAATAAATAAAAATAAAATGGGCCAGGGTAGTGTCACAAGTAAACAGTGGGGGTGAGCTAGCAAAAAAAACAATGACAGGCCCAAAGGGCCCAGCGCCTGCCAAAAATATGTTAGAAAATCAGAAAATTGGAAAAAAAAATGGAAAAGGGGGGTTCACATTGGTTCGAACCCTCGCCCTTTAGGTAACATATGTCTTAGTACGCGCGCGCTTGCCACTGGGGTGGCTGTTTCATCCAGTCATATAATCATAGCATAAATATATATTAGAAACTGCTTCCTGAAGGCAACTTCATCTTCAACCTTGAGCCATGGCCAGACCACCTGTATCTTTCTCATTTCTCAACAAAAATTGAAACTCCAAACATGAAAGTTATGGTGTTTCTTCCCATGAATTCAAACATATAACTTATGTAAACTAAATGTCAAAGATAAAAATTAATTTTGCTGGCCCTAAATTGAAACTTAATTTTCTCAGAAATTTCAAATCCAAAATTCTCTATACACAGTTAATATAAATGGAAACTATGAACATGGTCAGCTTTAGAGCAATGATATCTACATCTTGTTTTCACAAATCATGATCAAATGATGCTTGTATGAAGAGATAAACGTTTGAGTTTTTACCTCTTGCAGCTGGAGTCGTGAATGGAGTTTGAGCAACTTTTGAGATGGCCTGAGGATCTGTTTAGCTTGCTTGGACCTCCTTGAATGTATCCCAACTCTTACTTTTCCTTGAATGTCCCTGAATCTCTCTACTCAAGTCAACCTGCAAGCTTGGTTTTTGAAAATGGTGGATAGTGATGGAGGAGTTACAGTGAGGAAACAAGGGTATGTATTGCTTTGTTATGATGTATAGAAGGTGTTTGAGTGATTAATTTTCAAAACGCACGAGTGGAAATGAAGATCATGAATTTTGGTTCAGAACTGTATGTTAATGGTGCTCTTGAACATGTTTTTGGTTTTTGAATGTTTAAGGCAGTTTCAGGGCAATAGCATTCGTGTGTCAACTTGCCAATAATGTGTCTACTTATAAGCAAGAGATTATAAGACTTGTAACAACTCAGATTTCAAAACTCACATGTTTTGCTTGGTTACTTGTTTTTGAAGTAAAGTTAGCAAGCATGGTTTCAAGGTGAAGTACAAAGCTTGTAGGGGGGCTAAGACCTTTAAACACACTTGTTCTGATTGTGTAGAGTGTGTTTATGCAGAAAGAACAAATGCAAGGCTCAATGCAAGCTGACTTTGCAAAAGCTTGCTTTTCTAAAATGGCAATATTGTCTTTCTTCCCAAAATGGAATTATATTTGTACAATGCATTGAATGCTTGGATTAAAGCTTCCAACAGCTGTGAAAACATTTAATTATGGAGTGAAAGTCAAGTTAAAATCCTGCAAAGTGGGATTTGTATAGCATGCTTGAGGATTGGATCCAATGTTCTTCACAAAATGGCTTGTAATCCAAGTGACAAAACACCAACTTCACCTCTTCGATTCTCCCTACTCAAGAATGATCTCACGGAGTTATTAGACATTTTGGAAAGCTTGCAATGTTCCCTACAACTCGTCTTTGAATTGCTTTTGAAAATTCCCTTTGGAACCATGTGAAAAATTGCCATGAAGTTAGGTCAGAAATCTGCCTAACTAGGGCAAAATTTCACTAAGTCATTTTTAGTTCATGAGCATGTATTCACAAAATTATAACTTGAGATCCAAGCATTTTTCGGAGAAATTGTGTGAAGAAAAGTTATATATTTCATGGAGATCTACAACTTTCATGTTGGAAGTTTCCTTTGAATCACTTTGCATCATGGTGAAAATTTGGCTCAAAGTTGTGAAAAAAGTAAGAAATTTTCTATACTTAGAAAAATTTCTAAGTTAAAAAATTTCAACTTTTCAAAATGAAATCTTGAATTCTTGATTTCTTGGTGAACAAGTTTCATGTTTTGATGAGTTGTGATCTTTGGCATTTGAATTTGACCAAAAAGTCAAAGTTTGACTTTTCAGTATATAGTTGACTTTTGATCAGTTGACTGAAAAATTCATCTGTCAATCCAATGGACTTGTAGTGTTTTGAACCATGTCATTAGGTCAAAGTGATACAATTGTACTCTTGAGATCATGCCTAGACCTAATTGATCATTTGCTAGGTTAAAAATCAGAAATTTCCCTTTCCCAGTCAAAACCCTAATTTTGTCAATTTTGCCCTTTTGATGATTTGATCAAATTTCTTGAGGAGTTATGGTTCAAACTTGATCAAATGACACATATGGGTTTAAAATGTTGATGTGGATAAAAAATTATGAAGTTTTACTGTAAATTGGCTATGGTTGACTTTTCCCCCAATATAGTTGATTTTTAGGTCAACTGTTCAATTGACTGGTCAAAAGTGTGGTCCAAGACTTGAAATTTGACATGAGTAATCTTGGGGGTCCATAATGATCCATGAAAGTCATGTGGGGCATTGGAAGTTCAAAAATCCTTGTGCAATCTCAAACCCTACTTTTCAGTCATTAGTGCTTAAGGAGGTGTCTTGAGCTGATCAACCCAAATGCAAGCTTGATCCAAAGGAGATCTTGTGAAAATCCTTGATAAGTGGGAGGAAAAATTTCGGGGTACAACAATACTGAACTGGGTTAACAATTGATTGTGTCTTTTACCTTCTACAATTTAATTCTGCATAATTTCTATTTTGGTAAAATTATTTTATCAACAGATGACGTCTTCACATTTGTCTAATACCATTGTGTTACTTGGGAAGCAATTCAATAGAATTCTGAAGACAATGGATATAAGAGGAAGAATAAATTTCAAGAACATTTCATCTGACATCATTAATAACTATGCTTCTCAAAAGAATACTAGAACTAAAGACAAGTCCAATCAAAGCAAAGGCATTCAATGTTACGAGTCTGAAGGTTTTGGTCATATTAGACCAGAATGTCCCACCTTTCTCAAGAAGCAGAAAAATGGCCTTGCTGTATCTTGGTCTGATGATGATGAGTCAGAAGATGAATCTAACTCTAACACTGCCAAATCTTTGAATGTGCTCTCTAGAAGATGGGCAAATGAAGTCGAATCTTGTGATGAAAATGTCCTATATGAAGATCTGGATGTGTTCTCTGAGGATACTTGTGACATGTAGAAAGCTTGGGTGAAAAGAGGCATGTCTATGTGGTTATAGATGATTTTTCTGGGTTTACATGGGCGAACTTCCCTAGAGAAAAATCAGACACTTTTAGTCTTCAAAGAGTTGTGTCAAAGTATTCAAGAGGAGAAAAATAGTGTGATTGTCAAGGTTAGAAGTGACCATGACAAGTAGTTTGAGAATGCAAAATTATCTGAATTTTGTGCTTCTGAAAATATCAGCCATGAATTATCTTTCTCTATCACTTCTCAGCAAGATGGAATTGTTGAGCGAAAGACTAGAGCTATAGAAGAAGCAGCTAGAGTCATGCTTCATACTAAGCAATTACCATTAGATTTTTGGGCTGAAGCTATGAATACTGCATGCTACATTCATAATAGGGTCACTTTGAGAGGAGGTGCTTCAACTACTCTATATGAGTTATGGAAAGAAAGGAAGCCTACAGTTAAATACTTACATACCTTTGGAAGTAAATGTTATGTCTTGACTGACAAAGATCAAAAGGGTAAGAAGGATCTCATAAGTGATGAAGGGATACTTTTGGGTTACTCTTCAAGCAGCATAGCTTATAGAGTTTTTGACTCCATAACTGGAATGACAATGGAATCTATCAGTGTGGTAATTGATGATTCAATTAGTAAATAAAGGATGGATATTGAAGACATTGTTGGAACATCCTCTATGAAGATTGATGAGGAAGTAAGGGAGGTAATTTGTGAATTCATAAGCACTGAATTAATGATTTATCAATCCAACAAAGGTCTCTCTACTAGAGGTTATATAGAACAATCCTAGGATTTGATTTCAAGCCACCTTAATAAAGAAGTCGTCACTGAATCCAATTAGAAAATATAAAATTCATGTCTTGTTTTTAAGCTTGAACTAAGAATGAGTCCTACTATTCAAGAAAGTAAGATCTTGAATCGCATCATTGGAACCAGTTTTTATGGTGTGCCTTACTCTTTAAGCATGAAAAAATTCTGTAAGGCAAAATGGGTCGGTAGTACTGATAGATGTTTATCTCTAAGAAAAATTCTGATTTCTTGTTTCAATAAGAAGAAAATATGTGCTTCAAGGAATACTACTGAAGTTGAATATGGTGGAATAAGGAAATGTTGCTCATAATTGGTATGGATGAAATAAATGTTGAAGGATTATAATGTCAAGTATGATGTCTAGACATTATGTTGTGAAGATCTTAGTGATATCAAACATCTTATTCAACATGGCTGAAACAAGAATCTTGATAATCGTAATCAACTAATCAAGAATCTTGTTGAAGGAAAGGTTGTTATTCTGGAGCATATGGACAACAAGAAACAACATACTGTTATGTTTAAAGCAAATTAGATTGAGAACATAAACAAAGGGATTGGAACTTGTACTACTGAGAAGTTATAACAATTACATATATGGAGGAATGCAACAATTACTGCATATTTCCCCTATTCTCTAAGGTATGATAAGCCTATACAAATTACTATTGAAAAAAAAGATGGAACAAATGATCTCTGCAAGATAGAAGGGCTGGTGACAGCAAGAAGAGGTGCAGCAGGATCTTTGACAGAGGCAAGAGGTGGAATACCACCTGAAGATGAACAAGTTATGTGTGTTTTCATCTTAGTTTGCGTGTTTCCTTCCGAGTTTTTGAGCTTCCATCTGTGTTTATTACTTGTGTGCAATGTGTGTGTTTCCAATTGGCTTTATATTTACTCTTCTTTTTGTCAATTTTTGGCTAAAAATGGGGAGTAAAATATTAGTGTGTTTTTGTTTGTCCTGATGTTATGTCACATGTCTTGATATGTTGATTAGCATGCTGATAGGACTATACTACTCCTAAGGGGAGAGTTGTTGTTGTTGTTTCTTGCGGTATACAACTATTTAGGGGGAGTATAATAGTCTCTCATGCTTGTTGGGGTTTCTGATGTTGCTGTTGCTATTGCTGATGGATGTTTGTGTGCATCACGTCATACTAGATGTCTGTGTGCATGATGTCATATTAGATGTTCTGGCATTTTTCTTGAAGTGTTTTGTGGAGAACCCTAGTTACTCTAGTTTCTCTGTTTTCTTTGTTAGGCTTATTCTTAATCTTCTACTACATGTGCCTTTGATGTGTGAACTTGGATAGTTCATGATTGAATTGGTGATTTGGGTTTTCTGGTGATTTAGATTTTCTAGTGATTTGGATTTTCCCTTAAGGGGGAGCATTGGTTATGTGTGATACGGTGAGTAGTGGACCTGTCTTATTGAACAAGCTCTTGTGTTGTGTTGGAGTTGTGTTGATATGATGTCAGACCACATGTCTGGACATCTGACTTCTAGAGTGTTATAGATGGTGATTTGTAACTGCAATGTATTTCATATATATTTTATTGTTTGCAGTTTGTACAAAGTTTAAATGTTTTTCATGTAGCTTGTGTTTTGTATTTGTGGTTTTATTACTCTCTCGAGAATTATTGTGCAAATGTTGTTTTAGCTAAAGTTTATCAAATGGGGAGATTGTTAGGTCTGTGATTTTATGATTGACAACAAATTTGATAAAGTATGTTTCATTTTGAAAACATGTATCACAAGCCTGATGTTAAGTATGATATCATGAAATCTTAACCAACTGGTACAACATAGTCCGCTATTACTATTTTTGACGATGTTCTGATAGATGTTGTGACATGTTATACCAAAACATCGTAACAATACAACTGTTTAAGTCCTTAAAGATGTGATTTTAAAATATGAGATTCTGGATGGATATAGTTCTCTACAGGCGCAACTAAGCAAGAATATTTTAGGAACAATGCAGATTTGATTTGGTTTCATAAAAGGGATCTTGGAGATTTTTTAGGAAACTTTGAAGATTTGTTCCTATTTTTATGGAGAAGATCTTGCAGTTGATTTACTATTGGAAGACTGGACTCGATTGAAGAGTCCAAGCCCATACTGCAAGAGTTTATATATAAGGACTTACTAAACCTAGAAACTTAAGAAAAATTCACATCAAGAAATCACGTGTGGTTGAAATAAGGGTTTAGAGTTTTGAGAGTACTTTAGGTGTTTTGTTTGTTTTTGTATGTCACTCATGTATTGTCACACCCAAAATTTCGCTCTTAAATTTTTCAATCGCATTAGCATAGTATATTTTGTTTTATCTGGTCACAATCTTTGACAAACATCTTCATTCATTGCATTTGCATCATTAGTCACATTTAAGTTGACCAAAAGTCAGTTTAAATCAATATTTGCATTGTTTTTGAGTTAAAAAATACATGACATTTCACTTCATGCAGTTTTATCTCTTTATCCGCTTCAAGCATTGCGTCAAGTTGTTTATATATCGATAATATTAATATTTCAGTTTTACAGATTGGTTGTTAAAAGTGTTTCAGCACAACACAGAAAATTAGCAGGCCAATATTATGAGTTTTCACCTTTTGTTGATTATTTTATGAATCTATGTTGCGCGTAGATCATGTCGGTATGCTCACTTTATTTTTTCGGTGCTATTTGCGGTCTTTTTTTTTAACTGTCAACGTTTGTTCAATCAGATATTCTTATTCTCATTTTATTTCGATTTTAATAATTTAAAATCTTTTTTATTAATCTTTGTGATTTGTAATTTATTTTAATGTGTTTATTTTCTTTTTTCGATTAATTAAGTTTATATTTTTTATTATTTTAAATATTTATTTTTATTCAGAAAAAATTGAAACAATATTTTTAAGTGTATTTATTTTTGTTCTTTTAAGTTTTTAAGCTTCATTTCATCCAAAGGGAATTTTTGGCCATTAAAGAAAATTGCTAAACCTAGTTGTGTGGTATAAAGGTTATGAGATAAAGTTTGTGTTGAAGAGGCTTATCAGATTTACAAACCCAGAAACGCACAGAGACATTACTTCCTACTTCTTTCGTTCTCCCATTTCCGGAGCACCCAACACCTCTCCGTTCAACTGCCACGACCACTGTACCATCACCCACATACTCTTTCCGACCACACACGGTACCACGATACCACTATACCCAGCTTTCATACTCCTCCAGAGACACCCTCAACAACCATCGGTCACGCGACCCATCATCTCCCGTATTCCTTCACCACACCCTCTATTCCCTCTGTCAAAACCCAACCTCACAGCTTTTCTGAAAACCACTCCGCCGTATACTTCACCACCGGCCAACTTCCCATTCCGCCTTCACAAAATAACCTCCGCCTCCTTCCTACGTACTTCACAGACCCTTCACCATTCATCCTCACCATCATCTCAGCGTCTCACCAAACCCTTTCCTTTTAACAACAACCCAGCTTCAGCTAAGCTCACTTCTGCACTACCAGGCCTCTGTTGCAACACCCTCTGTTTCTGCTCATCTTCACCACGTAACCACCTTTTCTCCATTACTTTGTTCCTTTGATTTAAATTATGATTTGTCATTAATGTTAGAATTAATGATGAAATTTTGTTGTTATTATGTTGTTTAGTTTAACTTGAGTCATGAATTTATATTGTGATTTCTGGGCTGTTTTGAATGATGGAATTGATTGATGATGTGTTTGGTTGTTTGGTAAATTTGTGTTGGCATTGGATTATGACTATTTGGTTTTAAATTGTGGGAGAAAGTGGTGATGATATTATTGTGTGCTTTATGTTGAGTTAAATGATAAAGTGTTGATAATGTTATGAGCTAATAATTTTGATATCAATACCATATTGATGTGTGTTACTTTGAATGATCATTTTTGATGACAATAATTTTTCATTTGTGTTAAATTGTATGATAGTTTTTGATGTCAATACAAGGTTACTTGAGTTTAATTTGATTGGAGTTTTAATTAGTGTTACGGTGTTGTTTGTGGAATTTCGGTGTAGACACCGCATTATTTGAATTAAACTTAAATGAAGCTTGGTTGTGGTGTTAAATTATCGAACATGTTGAATTGGAATTAGTGAGTTTCATGGTGTATGTGTAGTTGTTGTCCGGATGTTGAATTAAATGATTAAAGCTTGTTTTAAAACTTGATTTTCATGCTTTGAAGTTAATTTGAAAAGCAACATGAGCTATTGCTAATTGATTTTGGTTTTAGTTGGTTTAAAATAAAGTAATTGAAGTTGTTAAGTGCTTGATGTGTTTTTGAGACTTAATTGCTTTTACCACTTATTTTATTAATTCACAAATTGAGTGTTAATTTGCATTTTGATTAATGATTCTTGTTTGGTTATTTCATCCATACATGTGTGGTAATTAAACTTGAGATTTGGTTACTAATACATATAAATTAATGCAAACTTTCATTGTTTATTACACTTTCTCTTGTGTTGCTAACATGTTTATGGTTTGTGTAAGCTCTCAAGATAGCTCGAGTGTTCACTTTCTCTTAACACAATTTCATTTCTTTCTTTTTCTAATCTATTAATTAACTATTGTTTTTATTAATTGATTTTGTTAATTAAAATAGATTACTTTATTAATCTAGTTTTCTTAACTTGATTAATTAATTAGATCAATATTTAATTAATCGATTCACATTTACCTCTTTTTCTATGGTGTTGTACTAATTAATTTGTATGGCTTTCATTTCATTTTACTTTACTTTATTGTCATCCCTACTTGATAAAAAGTGTATCCCTCTCCCATTATGATGTAAATAATTTATCGTATTTCTTTTGGTTGTACTTGAAATTACTCATCACATGCACAAACTATTTTTTAAGGAACTAATTCTCGATTGCGAGTCATTTTCACACCATAAGCCTAAATAAAGATTTTAAGCATTGCAAATAACAACACATGTACACTTGCACACTTGATCCTGGGCATTCTTAAAGTATAACCTATTCGATCAATTGTTCCAATTGATCGCTTATAAGGTTGGTCAATTATGCCGAGCATCATTTAGAAATTACGATTCATAGTCATTTGCCTTATCATTTATGTTGTGTGCCACCTTGTTTGGGCTTGTATGCTTTATTCGCTTATCATAATCCCCGTTTGAAAATTTATACCCCAATTCCCATGACAATGTAATAATTTTACCGTTTTCTTTATCGCTTTCATTTATTTTGCTTATGTCTTGTCTATTGTATGCTATTAACTCAAACCCTTGCATTTTCGGTCCATATACCAAATCATAACCAACTTGGTAAGTCGAGTTTGCTTTGCAATCGTCTTTGACCTCCTCACGTTCTATATCACAACTTTCATAATAAAGTTTCAAATCTTGATCCAACGTCGAGTTTCTTTTCAAAACATTTTCTCAATAAAACATAGGAAAGATGGTTGGGACACTTATATCCCCTCCTTCTCAAGTGTTGAGTTGTTAGTTTTATTTCAACTTACGATCTTACACTTGGCTTCCTTAAATGAAATCTTAATTAAGGGAACCTTGTTTCGCCTCACATTTTCTTAAAAAAAAATTTCGAATGAAAAAGATGGTTAGAATGATTTTGTCCCTTCCATTCAAGTACTTGGAGCATTAGTCGTTAACACTTATGGTCTGATGTTTGTCTCCCACATAAATACAATCTAAACTCTTTTAAATCTTTTGCCGCTTGACTTTTCAATTTAAAATCTTATCAAAAAGAGTGATATTTCGTCTGCTCTACGACAATGAAGCAACGTTCTTTCCACAAGTGAATGTTGAGCCTTTTCCACTCGAATGCGGTCATGGCAAGAGTCTATGCATATCTAGACTCAATTATCCATTTTTGAAGTGATGTAATCGTTCCATTATCCATGTTTCAGGCAACAATGTTTATGTTCGAATGTGATCGGGTATCTCTCACTAAAACGAACCTACTCACAAACATTTGTTACCTGAATTACGACGCTCTGAGGTTATGTAGACACGTGGTTTTGAAACCAAGGCACAAGGATACGTAGGCATGATGTTTTGAAATCGAGGCGAGCACAAAAGCATTTCTCCTTTCTTTCTCTTTTCTAACATTCTTTATATAAAGCATTCTCTCTTTAGAAGATGTCAATCGGCCAATAATTCATGCATATATTTTTTGTTGGAACATCCGACTAGAGAACATATATTAAAATTTATTAGAAACAATAGTAGAAAAGAAAAAGGAATAAATTAATGATGCTTAATATTGCAGGTTTTTTGTGAGAATGATAAAACTTCTCATTGAAATATTGTTTTGAATGTATAATGTTTGCTATCATTGTGTAATGATAGAGTAAGGAGTTAAAGAGAAGTTTTTGAAATCAAACGGAAAGAGAGGGAGTTACAGTTTAAGTGTTCCATAATAATTCATGTTTTTGCTTTAACTGTTTCACAATTCCCATTTAAAATCATATTATGAGTGCTTGACGTGGGTGGTACTGCATTTTATTGAACCGTTCGTAAATTACCACGGTTCATAAATTGTTATGACGTCAAAAATCTTCAAAAAATTAATTAATTTTTATTTAATTAATTTTTAATTATGTAAAAAATTAGTTTTATGACCGTTATTATAGGAATAATATTGGAACAAAAGTAGGTGAGTCTAAAAAACATCTATCTCCTTTATATATAATTATAGATATAGATATATATTATCGGCTGAGAAGTGAAAACAAAGAAATATAATGGACTAATATAAGAAAGAATAAATAAATAAAGAGTATTTTTTATTGGTTAAACTATATTACTTATCTATGAGTTTATCTAAAACACCAAATTAGATAAATTGATAATTATTTTGAAATTTTTTTTGCATTATTCATATTGAAAAATATTAATGAAAATATTAATGGACAAATATATATATATATATATATATATATATATATATATATATATATATATATATATATATATATATATATATATATATATATATATATATATATATATATATATATATATATATATATATATATATATATATATATATATATATATATATATATATATATATATATATATATATATATATATATATATATATATATATATATATATATATATATATATATATATATATATATATATATATATATATATATATATATATATATATATAATGATAACCAATTTAAGAAATTTATATTTATCACTTAGTTAATTCATATCATTGTTTTAATAGATCCTTGGGACGTTCCTCCTAAGAGTTAGGTCCTATTTCTGTTCGCCATACCTACTCCAGAACCTTGGAGTGGCGAAGAGGCACTCACTAAAGGGTCTGAAAAAGTGGACGCTGCGTTCGTTAGGCTAGCCAAATCAGACGTTGGCATGCCATAAAGTGGTTCTCGATTATGACCGCCTGTCATAAATCCTGGGGGAACATAAGGCCTTGTGCCTAAATTTCCCCTTGGTGGGGGAGTTCCCAAAGGCACTCTGGGGCCAGTGAACGGAGGTAATGGCCCCGTCGTTGTGACCGTTACTGCTGGTGTTGAACCAGCGGTTGTCGCTTCACTTACGGTTGGGATAACCGTTGATCCCACATTCGTTTGTGGGATTTCGTTATTGTTTGGCGGATTCGCCATCTCTTCTCTTCTTCTGGCAGTATTGGTATTGTTAGTGTATATTCTACCACTTCTCAATAACATACAACACTCCTCGAAAAAGACGATATTTTGTGTAAACAGATTAAACTTCAAAATCAACACACAGTCCCACCAGGTGTGCCAATTTGTTTACCGTTGGTTTTGGTAAACAACCGCTGATCTTCCAAATGGTTACTTATTTGGTTACTCGCAGGATCGATCAGATTGATCCTAAGACATGGTTGATTTTGGGGTTTTGATTAAGTTTGACAATGGTTAAATGACGAGAAAATAAAGAAGCTTTATGTAAATTGCATGAAGAAGAGAACTTGATAAAATAAAGGGAGGCTTGAAATAAAGGTTTTCGACAGGAAAAGTAAAGGAGAAAGCAAGTAAAGTTTCTGGAAAATAAATGACTTTGATTAATAAAAGTGGTGTTTCACACATACATTCTCAACAATTCTTTCTCACACGCTGGGTACTCGAATCTATATGAGTGACTTGTATATAATTGTGAACACACGCGAAAAACTGCGTGAACTACTAATATTTATACTAAAACATCCCTAGTAACCGTCGGGCAGTTACACTGCTTCGAGATGACTCCACTTGGCACGTTCTCAGCGTTCGACGCTCCAAATCTTTGTACGTTGCACTTGGTAACCGCTGGGAACCGTTTTCCCTCCAAACGCTTGAATTTCAAACCGTTCCACTCTGAACAATCGAACACCTTCGTCGAGAAGCATCTTCGACGAGCCACACCTTCGACGTCGAAGGCAACCAAATTCTTTCTTGGAAGAAATCCTCTAAGTACTTTGCCATCTTCTGATGGGCCTTTCGACAGACCCAGCTGGTCGAAAACATCCTTCAGCTTTGATGGCTGATATTAATAAAAACAAGGGTGTCGAATTTAGGAGCCAACAAATTGCCCCCCAAGAATGCCTTATTTCGACTCCGAAAAGAAAAAGGCATTCTTTGAAACTCCATTCGACACCTGTCTTTTCATTCTTAGTCACAAATTAAATTGTGCACTTTTTTGTCTTCTACCAACCACTGACAATTCCAAGGAAAAGCCATCATTTCATCCGTACCTAAGACGTCACCTCAGTACGGCGTGCAGCGTGCCAAATGTCTTTTCACAAATTGTCATCATGACAATTCCCAAAAACGAGGGCGCACGCTGCACCCTTTCATTTCTGCAGAACGGCTGTGTTAATAGGGGGACGCCAAGTGTCCCACTACCCTCTGCAACATTAAATGGCATTAAATGTCCTCGAATTTGGGGATTTCCCCAACTACTATAAATAGCGCCAAGTACCCATTGTGGGACTTTTTCACGCTACCTTGCCTTCAAACTTCTTTGAACAAAAACTCTCTGCAAACTTTGCAAACAACTTTGTTCTTCACTTCATCTTCAACCTTAACATCAACAATGGCGTCCGGTTCTTCCACCGCTCCTAGTTCTAACATCCCCTCAGGAAATGCTAAACCCAAGATTTTCTCCACTGCTCCTGTAGTTTCTCCTACAGGCCAACGAAGGGTTCCTGAACCCCTAGACATTACTGTACGTGACGCCTATTCACGCCAACTCATGATTCCGGTTGGATACTCCAACCAAATCTTTTCCATGTCTGGCCCGCTATACCCAAGCATCGCTGAAGCCATGAAGATCAAAAGCTTCTTTCCAGTGCTCGAGAGGCTCAAACATGTTGGATGCTCTAAGAAAGATGCCGAGGATAACGAAGATCCCGCTAAGGAGAAAATCGATCTTCGCTTCCTCAATCGGGGTGTTAGGGATTTCAGGTCTAGCCCTAGCCTCACTCCTGACTACAGTGCTTGGCTGGAAAAAATGGAGAAAAGTCAGGCTTCGATCTGGAAAGATCTGGGGATATTCGACCTGGTTATGTTGTCGAAAACGGGTCTCAACTATTCCCCAGAAATGTTGATAGCTTCCTTACTCTTCTGGGATTACACCCATTTCACCTTCCACCTTCCTTGCGGAATGCTGACACCCACGCTGTTCGACGTGGCTGCCATCACTGGCCTTCGACCCACTGGGGACTATTTCGACCCAGAGGAAATGTCGGAGGATCAGATTGGATTCTCTGCCACAAAACCAACCTACACCACCTATATCAATCATTATCACGATAAGTCGACGGCCACTGTGTCGGATGTAGAGCATATCGCGTTTCTAGCCTTATGGCTGTCACGCTTTGTGTTCTGCACAAAGTCTTTACAGGTGACCAAGAAGATGGTTACCCTCGCCACCCAACTCCACCATGGCCAAAATATCTGTTTGGCAGAATTGATTTTGGCGAATCTGTACGAGTCGATTAGCAGCGGAGCCACTCTTTTGAAGATCATCGATAACAGAGCCAGTCTGCTACTTGCAGGACCTTTTTGGCTACTTCAGCTGTGGCTCAATGCCACCTTCGAGTCTTTCTTACCTCAGAAGACTCAAATAAATGAGTAGGCTCCGGAGATAGCAAATAGGTGCATCGAAGGCACCAGATTGGCTCTGCTGACCCCAACTGAAGATGGGCTGGAGCTTCAACAAACTTTTACAAACTTCGCCTTGATGTTTGCAAAAAGGAAAGAGTTTGTTTCGACCATGGCTCCCTTTGCTCGACGAAAGGTTGGTCCAGAGTGGTTCATGAGGCCCCATCCTAAATCGTCAAGTGGCCCTCAGGTCGAAGAACATACAACAGTGTGGGAAGCATTTCTCACACCAAGAATAATGCGCCTGCGATTCAAGAGCTCCAAGACTCACTTGAGCCTGATCGCATATCAACCAAACTTGGTTTCTCGCCAGTTTGGTATCATTCAAACACTTCCTTCTCTTATTTTTCCCAGGGAGAAGTCTATGTTATACTTTTGCAACGACTACACTGAAGACGCTGCCACTAAGCATATCGGCAGATATGCTGGTCGAACAGTCCTTTCGTTGTTCGACTATCAGCTTAACTTTCTCTGCTCACCATCCTTCGAAGAGTGGTGGAAAAGTTACTACGCTGAGGAGTTTTTCGACGAGAAGGACTTCGTGGACGAACTTCAGAAGTCTTTTGTTCTTGTCTTGGACAAAATAAAGAAATGTAAGTTCATTCTTCCAAATTATTTTGTCTTTCTCTTTCGACTGGCAGCCTGTTAATTATTTTGTCTCCTTTCAGTTGTTCGAAAGCCTGCAGCCAAGAAAGCTGCAGAAGGCCAACAGGGAGGAGGTCCCTTGACAAAACCTCCACCACTGGCGAAGACTATAGCGCCGACGAAGACTACAACAAGCCATCAA